CAAAGGGTTAAGGGATGAAAACCGTCAATAAATAAAAACATGCCAATTTCCTAACATTAAATCATAATGAATAATATGATGACACTTCAATAGTTGATATTAGAAAGAATTACTATTAGAAGAATGGATACAACTTTAGTTCAAAACAAAGCTTGAAGTCTTTAATTTCTATTATGTTGTTTGGAAGTCTTCTGCAAATTAATTCTAATGGGATGAAAATAGACTAGGAAGAAAATATCGTTGAATTCCATTGTAGGATGATCTACCAGAAGAATTGCTAAACTTTAAGTGTCAATAACTTTGCTAGTATTGAAACAAATGGATTCAATTTTAACTCAAAATGAAGCTTAAAGCCTCTGTTTACTGTCGTAATCTGAAAGTTTCCCTTACATTGATTATGTCATATATCATCATGAATTATCATAAAATATGATATACTATCAAATCCACTATTTCCATTCTCATGCCTCAAGTAGTACTTCCTAAAATCATATTCGTATTGGTTTGCACCGTTATTGACAGTGTGGATTCCACACTCCTATCTGAAATTTGTACAATATCTGTTGCAGTAACGATCTGGAACTAGCTCAAATCCATCTGAAACCTTCGGCATTCCAAGGCTAAGTTGCTGACTTTGTTCGTCCGGAGACATAAATTTTAACCGAAGAAATCAAAACCGCCGATTTCAGAAGCCTGATTGATAGTATGAAGAAATTCTTAGGTTTACTAGGAACAATTGCGATTGCCTATAGCCTAATGCTATCGGTAGTTGATGCAAGTCCGTATCAGAGAAAAGAAGAAATAAAATTAGGAAGTACAGAGATTGACACATTGCAAATAAATGATTTAGTAAATAAAAAAATCAACAGAGATAAACGAGATGTCACGTATGGGAACTGCGTAAATACGACGAGTGGTGATTCTGCTGGTATGCAAGTACTGACTGGCGCTGCTATCGGTGCCGGGATTGGCAGTGTCGTTCCCGGTTTAGGCAACATCATAGGTGCAGCGGTCGGATCTGTTATAGGCGCAGCGGAAGCAGCTGTTGGTGAAAAAGCACCTGCAAATGGTTGTGCGAAACCTAAAAATTAAAATCGCAAGGACTTATACCTGAGTTCCCGATAGTCTAGGAGCGG